ATACTTGTAAGCACTGGTTTAGAAGCTTTAAAAGTGATGATTTCGATGTGAAAGACAAAGAACACCCAGTTCAACCGAAAAAGTTTGAAGACCAACAATTACAAGCATAATTGGATGAAGATGCATGTCAAACTCAAGAACAATTTGCAAAAAGACTAAACAATTTTGATCATTTACAAGCAACGGGAAAGATTTTAAAGGAAGGAAAATGGGTGCCACATCAACTGAACAAAAGACAAATGGAAAACCAAAAAGTCATCAGTAAAATGTTGCTTCAACGGCACTAAAGAAAATCCTTTTTGCATCGAATTGTGACTGGCAATGAAAAGTGGATTTATTTTGAGAATCCCAAATGCACAAAATCATGGGTTGATCCAAGTCAACCATCAACATCAACTGCAAGGCCAAATCGCTTCAGAAAGAAGACAATGCTCTGCATTTGGTGGGATCAGGAAGGTGTGGTGTGGCAGGTGATCAGGAAGGTGTGGTGTATTATGAGCTCCTAAAACCAGGTGAAACCATTAATACTGATCGTTACTGACAACCAATATCAATTTGAATCATGCTTTCATCATGAAACGACCAGTATATTCCAGAAGACACAGCATAGTAATTTTGCTTCATGATAACGCACCATCACACACTTCAAAACTATTTAAAGACATGTTAAATGATCTTGCCTGGGAAGTATTAACCCACCCACTGTATTCACCAGACCTTGCTCCTTCAGATTACCACTTGTTCCGATCGATGGCATACGCATTTTCTGAAAGGCGCTTCAAAACTTACGAAGAAGTGGAAAATTGGGTCTCTGAATGGTTTGCCTCAAAACAAGAAAAGTTCTATTGGGACAGTATCCACAAATTACCTGAAAGATGGAGGAAATGTGTAGCTAGTAATGGACATTACTTTGAATAAAGCACTTTTGATGTTACTCTTGAAATTATAGTGTTTTCTTTTATTAGAAAATCCTCCATTATTAACTGGTATACCTAGTACACCATTAAGTTCTAATAAATGATAAAAATGTCACAGTGAAATAGCAGGAGGGTCATCAATAGACAAGGGTTTTCACGAAACTTGAAGAAGGCAGGGGGTAGGTAGTGGAATGATGACTAACAAGTACAGAAGTGAAGCCACAGCCTAGAATAAAAATACAGCAAGAATTCTGGAACTGGTAGGGAGCAGTGCTGCCACACATAACCCAGAAGGCTTTCCAGATTTGAAATGCAGATAGCATAGAAAGCAGACTGACAACTGATGCTAAAACTGGGGATTGCTAAAAGAATCACTAACAGTGGACCCCACCTTCCCCATCCTCCAGCCATTACCTTGCAGAAGATCCAGGCCCAAAAGGAAGGGATCATCTTTAAAGATGTAGACACTTGTGAAAATAGCAGTAGAATGGAGAATCCTTTCCGCTGTTTTTGATGCTGTGTTTGTACCTCAGCTGGAGGACAAAATAGAGATGGTTCCTGATCACAAGAGAGTGATGTGCCAGGGCCCATGCAGGCGGCCCCACTGTCAGGGAATCGAGGAACAAGACCTTCCCTGGTCACCTGCCCTGCTGGCACAGGGGCTGCCCTGTGCACAGCACAGGCAGGGGGACACCATCATCAGGACCTCACCCCAGGAGATGCCCCTTGGCAACACATCATAAGCCAGTAGACCACATCCACCCAGCCCAGAGCTTCCAGGCCAGTAACCCCAGAAGCTGCAGCCCATCGGCCTTATTGGAAACTCGGCTTCCCTCTCACAAAATGCTGTGCCATTTGGGGGCTTTGGAAGCCTTCTCTGTTTTCTTCTGCAGAACCTCATCCACAGAACAGGCTGCATTCTGCGCTGTGGCAGGTTTCCTAGTTTTGACATACAACCTTTCCCTTTGTGTCGCATTCTTGGTCTCTGCTAACTCTCTTTTATACATGTCTAAAGCCTTGAGAACCCTGGGCTGTGGCAGGTGATTAAGCTCCCACTTCAGTCTCACAACTGGAAACTAGGATATCAATCACGTGCAACATTTCAAAAGAAGGCAATCTGTTTGGAGCCTTTCATCGTCAGGGTTTATGGAACGGGGTCATATCAGGTGTTACAGCAGTAAGTATATGCATTTTAATAGAATGGATCTTTTCTCCAACTGACTCTTATATGGAAGTCCAATACCCAGAATTGATTAACAAGCTGCTGCTTATGACAGAGCAAGGGGGGCTCAGGGAAACCAAAGCCCCATCCGCTCGGCTCAGCTTCTCTTGCCTTCCTCATGACCCAGGTTACCTCCTAAAATGGCATTTCCAGGGAGAGCAGTTAGCAATTCCAACTCAGAACAACTAAAAAGTACGTTAATTATAGGTAAAAAAGGTAAATATGTTACCTTGTAAAACATGTACAATGTAAAACACAAGCAGTTATCCTTACCTGCATGCTTGTAAATACCAATAAAATTATAAGTAGATTCAACCAGGCAGAACTCAGCAACCATCTTCATCACCACCACCATCATCCTCACCTACATTTAATGAGAGTTAACCATGGGTCAAGGATAAGTGATTGAAATATATTCTATCACTCCAAACAACAAAATCATGCAGCCAGTATTGCTAGTGTCCACGTGTTAAAGAACTTGACCAAGATCCCCTAGCTACTGGGTAGGAGGGGCTAAGATGCAAGGCCAGATCTGCTGCACAGACTTCTAGCATGCTCTTGGCCACTGAGTTGTACTACTCCCCATAATAGGTACTTGTGTCCTTCTTTATATATTTTCTTAATTTTTTACTTGAGTTAACCACTTCAATAATAATAAAGGTATTTTCATTAGAGACCAAAACAGGACAGAGAGTGGGGGGTGAGGGGAGACCCTGTGCCTTAAGTTCAGAAGTGAGCAGGGCAGAGATGCCCGGGATAGCTCATCCAGCTGGGGTCACCATGGAGGTGACCCTGCATGTCACAAAGGAAGGGCTCAGAGGACATTCTTCACCCTGAAAAGGCTCAGCTTAACCAGGCAGGTTCATCCTTCTTCATCATCTTCTTCCCTTCCTACTCATCAGAAACGTTAGAAAAACATATTAGTCTTTATATAATCAAGTATAGTCAGATAACCATTGTGAAAAGAAGGGAAGGGGAAGGGGAAGTATAAGAGGACTAAAACTCCTAATTAACAAAACAGACCATGACTAAAGTCGATGAGTCAACAGACAGCAGAATAGATGCATTATTTAGGAATATGATGGAAAATGTTAGCAGAAACAGATCAAATTACACTGTTCTCTTGGGAAGGGACAATGGAGGGGGCCAAGAGGCTGGGACATGAGAGATTGCTGAATTTTTATAAGCCTTTTAGCACTGCTTGGCTTTTCAAATCAAGTGCAAATATTTCTATAATTTGTAAAATAAATAAATAAATAAATAAATAAATAAATAAATAAATAAATAAAAAATGACAAAACAAAATAATAAAACCTACCCTCCTCAGTAATCTCCTTTAGCTTAATGGACTCCAGGAAAGACTTCAGACAGAGAGAATGTGGTTTGACGTGGCTTGTGGAGCCTTGAGAGCTGAGGCACAGCAGACGGGAGATGCCTGGTGTTTGGGGAAGAACACTGGATCTTGAATCAAAAGACCTAGGTTCCAACCTTGGCCTTGGTGCTCCACACTCTGTGGCCTTGGGCAATATGTGTAACATCTCTGAGCTTCTCTACCCCATAAGGGCAGGCATCCAGACCCCATGGAACCAAAAAGAGGATTAAATGATGTAAATCCCAACCCAATGATGCAAACTAACCTCATGGTGAGGCTACAAGGGGTAGGGGCCTGAGCAGTCTGGGCCAGGGAGGACTGAGCCCTGGATAAGAGATGCAAGTTGCTCACCCATGAACCAGGCATTGAGCCCACGCTCGAGTCTCTGGACTTGAGCTGAAATTTTCTCCCCCCACCACCATGTTACCAAGTTCTCTGAGAACATGGAGTATGTTTTAAGTTTTTGTGGATTCAAGAGAGAGGTGATAACCCAAGTGTCCATCTGCATCCCTCTGTGAGAAGCTCACCTATATCATGAGCCCATCTGACTCCACATGGGGATTCTTGAACAAAGTCCTCCCTCAAGTCTTCGAACTTAAAATAATCTCCAAATCGCTTAGCTGTAGAATCAAACTTCGTGAAACCTTAGGCCCCAAAGAGAAATCTCCAGCCCTTTCTCCAGGCCATGGTCCAGATCACCACCAAGTCAAGCTTTGTCACAGATCTGGCCAGAGTTACCATTTGAGGACAAGAAGATGCAGCTCCCCAGGAAGTAGCCCATGCTGGCATGGAGCCATATTTTCCAGGGGCTGGCTGCTGAATGCCTTGGTTGCCAGGATCCCTCTTTCCCCTCCTCCAACTGGAATCACAGCCAGCACGGGTTAGGGGTGGGAGAGGTCTGGCAGGTCCATACTCCCACGGGTCGGCTATCTCCTGTTATCAGAGAGACCCACGTACCATCAGACAGCACTGTTCTTGATGGTGTGTCACAATATGGAGAGGTAGGAAGACACCCTGGGAAAAACGAACCCGAAACAAGACTCCAGACTGAGCCCAACACACTCCCCCCAGGACAGGGATAAAATGGGGACTGAAGTCTAAAATCTCTCCAAGGTCCTGGGAACACAGCCTGCTCTTGGCATAGGCAGCAGGTGGGGGCTGATGATTCGGGCCTGCAGATTCACTCCCCCAACCCCCCCAAAAAAATAAGTTTATACTTTGGCACTTCCTACTTAGCAAGCATTAATCACAATGTCAATTAATGCAATGATTACATTAATAAAATACCCCTGGTTCAGAGGGAACCTCCTAGAGACCAGCTTTGATTCCATGAACACCAGGTAAGGGACCCGGGAGGGAACTCTGCAGAGGGAGGGTTCGAGGAGTAAGTACCAGTAATTACCAGTGACTAAATGTCATTTTCCTTGAGTCAAGTGATTCTCATTTTATTCAAGTGTCCTGGAAACGATGATGCTGATTTTTTTTTTTCCATTTTGGGGAATTTCTTTTCTGTCCAACAAATAACTTTCAATCATCTGCTTTTAAAAGTATTTTGCAATTTCTAAATAATTTTTTTTTTTTTAAATCAGGCCGACACTGCCAACTCCTGAGGGTTGGGTTTTTCGGAATCACCTACAGAAAGAGGGCTGTTCCGCCGAGAGCCCGTGTGGGAAATTGGCCTGTATATCCTGTGCCCCGCAGCATCTGTTTCTTCAAAGATGTAGCCAGGGGGCTCAGGGTAAGAAGCCAAGCACCTACCTAAGTCCTTGGGGGTAAAGCTGATGGTGTATGTGGTCTGGCCTTCCACAGGGACATTTGCTCGGGGACTAGACCAGAGGGGCTTACAGCTTTTGGTACTGGTGGGTGGGTGGGGCACATAGTGGGCCCTGGTGGTGGTCAGGCAGTCCAAGGGCTCGGTGGGACGAAGCAGCTGGGGAATGGGCTTAACTGGCTCCATGCGCCCGCTGACCCACTGCTTGTAGTGATCCCTGGTGGTTGTGGAGCCTTCGAAGGGGGGACCTTTCTTGATGCAAACCACAGGTCGGCAGGACTGAGCTGGAGCCCCCTTCGGGTATGTGTAATGGGATTGCGTTGTTGTCAGAAGGTCCATCTTTTCTTCAGGAGGGACGTAGGGGACAAGAGGTTTGTAGAACAACTGGGGCGTTGGCCATGCTTGGTACTTATCTCGAAACTCAGTGGTGTTACAGAAAGGTGCGTCTAATCTGCAGGAACTGACTGGCGGTTTCGTGCTCTTGGCGGCCTCCCCCATCAGGCCCCGGAAGGACTGTCTGTGGGTGGTGAGGCTTTCAAAGGGGATCTCACAGGGCTTGAACTTCTCTGCCTCATACACAAAACGCTTCTCTATAGGGTGGGGCACGTAGCTCATCTTGTAGTTAGTCAGATCCTCCAGGGGGATGTTACAGACCTTGGGCATGGCTGGAGGCTTACAGCTCATGGTGTTCACTAGACCCTTTAAAGCGTAATCATCCTGGTGTGTGGTTCTATAGTCAAACTTGGCAGATTCTGGCCGGTAGGTGTGTTGTGGACGAATTAGATCTCGTCTTGGTTGGTTCCAGGGTAAATAATCAGCTGAAAATAAAGCAGAAGTCAAGTAATTATTCATAATTCAATTCACTCAACCTGCATGTATTCCAAGGGGTCTTCAAAGCCATACACCAGTCTTCAGTGAGACGTTCTTTGTGGCAAAAGAACAGAGTGGATCTCTACCATCACTTCACTCAAGGGCTTGATATTTCAACTTTATGGTATCTGGAGTTACTGTGCATAAGAGAGAAATTTATATCACACCCTGCAATGCTGTACACAGGTATTTTAGAGGGTCTATGGCCGTGGGAAGATCCAGGGAACCGATTCTAGCAGAGCTGTCACACCACTGACTTACCCTGGTCCAAGAAGAGTTCCATCCCTCTGTGGGGAAGGTGCATGTGATACAGTGAGACAGGAGAGGCACAACCCACTACTAATGGGCTGCCAGCCAGACCAACCAGGCCTGCCTGGTGTGCATGGGAAAACTGCCATTGTGTCCCTCACCCATACAGCTAATCCACACTAATCCAAGAAAATAAGGGCATTGTATTGGCTGGTGAGAGAATAATAGCAACTGCCTCTTATATAGAGCTTATTATATCACAGACAGTATTTGAAATGCTTTCTGTGGTACCTCTTTTAATATTCAGACTTCCCTAATGAGGTGGGTACCATCAAATATGCTCATGTTACAAGTGCAGAGAGACTAAGATATTTGCCCACAGCCTATTCTGCCCAGATGGACCAGGGCCAGGGGGTTGGGGGTGTGATGGAAACCCCAGGATAAAACACCACAAACTCACATTGTTCGTAACAATGGTTTAGTAGTGCTTCTTAAATAAATACTTTTCAATTTTCTGTATGCCTTTAGTTTCCTGAGCCCTAAAATAGTTGATTTTTTACTGTTTTGTCCAGTTTTATTGTTGCTTTTGGGACAGAGCATTTGCCAAGTTCCTCACTCCACCACTTTGGAAGTTCTGACATCCCCTTCCCCTCCTCCCCCCAGACACACTCTTAAGTTTATTTTAGGCTAATAATACTACCAACTATTTATTTTAAATTGGCTTCATTTTAATTGAAAATCTAATCTTTCTCCAAGAGCCATTAATGGCTCTATCAGCATCTTGAAAGCATTAGGGGGCCTCAGAGAGAACCATCTTGCTGAATATAAACCACATGTTTCCCCGTCAGACTTCAGGCCTCCCTGATATGGGGCTATCTACCTGTAGATGCCTACACTCTGCCTCAAGGTCCGTGGGGGCTGAAGGACAGGGTTTTTCTGGCCCTCTTCCATGATGGATGAAGTGATAAGCAAACAGGTTCCTAAGCTGAAAGTTGCCTCATGTAATTTCTGATACCCAACAATACAGTTTAAGCCACATTATTATCCAACCTTCTAACTTCCTCCACCCAGCATATATTACAAAAAAAAAAAAAAAAAAAAAAAAAAAAAAAAACAACCTTCACAAGACCCTGAAAAACCTCAGCATTTCACATGACAAACTGTTCATAAGCATGAAAACCATCAGTAAAGCCCTTCAGGGCCAGGGTGTCATGTGGGTAATTGGCAAGAACCTCTTTAAAAGGGATTCCATTCAATAATGTGTCTAAAAAAAAAACTTAGCTAAACCTAAAGCTGAGCATCAAGTAATTACACTCTCAATCTTTCCAATTGCACAGTGTTTTGAAAATGTCAAAATTACAACCAAATGCTGCTGGAGCATATTTTACTGGTGGTTTTCTAGTAGAGGTGCTGGCCATACGAGTGGAAAGGGGAAAGTTTGCATATTTTCCCTGTAGAACCATAGTAAGTGGAGCATATAGATATAATATAGATGGAACCCATTGAAATACACATATTTAATGAGCTTGGTCTTTGGTTGTTTTTTCTTCTCCCTCTTTGGAAGGAAAATCAATGTACAGCCATAAAACCATAAGGCTGCTATGGGGAAAAAAAAAAAATTACTAAAGCAGCAAATTTCCACAAGAGACAAACAAGTCATCAAAAGGTGATACTCCAGACTGGCCAGCGTGGCTCAGTGGTTGAGCATCAGGAGGTCATAGTTCAATTCCCAGTTGTGGGTTCATGCAAGAGGCAGCAGATCCATGTTTCTCTCTCATCAATGTTTCTATTTCTCTCTCCCTTCCTCTCTCTAAAAATTAATAAAAACATTTTTTGAAAAAGGTGATACTCCAAGAGATAAGACAAGAGCCCCTCACACATACAAGAGGTTGTGCAGGACTTATGCAAGGGCAGAGTAAATGCCATGGGTCTTCCCCAAGCCTTCACTCCAGCTCTTGGTCAGGACCCACCGAGTAATCAGCTAAGTGAGGATTTGTACAAAGCCAATGCCACACTGTCACTGGAGCCCTTATAAACAACTAGAAGCCCAGTGCACAAAATTTGTACATGGGGGGAGGGGGGTTTCCCCGTCAGCCCAGCCTGCACCCTCTCCTATCTGGGATCCCTTGAGGGATGTCTGACTGCCCATGTAGGGCCGATCCCACTGGGATTCACAATCTGGGACTGCTGGCTCCCAACTGCTTGCCTGCCTGCCTGCCTGATCACCCCCTAACCACTCCCCTGCCAGCCTAATCAATGCCTAACTGCTTCTCTGCTGGTCACCCCTAACTTCCCTCCCCTGCTGGCCATCTTGTGGTGGCCATCTTGTGTCCACATAGGGGCAGCCATTTTTGACCACATGGGGGTGGGCATCGTGTGTGTTGGAGTGATGGTCAATTTGCATATTACTCTTTTATTAGATAAAATGGTCCAGAACTGCTCATTAATGCCTTTTTTTTTTTGCTAAGCACACCTTGGTAACGTCATCCCCTTTGTAATGTGCTAAATGCTGGGAAAACATGTGCTGTCCATTCAAGGCCCAGTTTTGGCAGCCATTATATATGATAGGGGAGTAAGGGAGCAAAGCAACAATTTACATTAATAGAATATGTTAAGTATATACTATTCCAAAAAACTACTAAGACACATAGATTTGATTGATAGGTGCCTGTAAGCAACCTAACTATAAGAACATTTCATTGGCTACATATTGATTTGTTTGCTTTCACATCTGCATTTCAAGGGGAAAAGGAGAATATCAGGCTTTCTCAATTTTAACTTTGTCAGTAAGGAAAAGTCAGCCACTGTTTCATTTTAGCAGTGGAACACTATTCTCTGGTTTGCAGAGGGAAATTTTAGATGTGGCTGTTTGGAGAAGGTGAGGAATATGGGAGAGCTGGAGGGGAAGAGTTTAAAGCATATGTATTAGGTTGTTGTTTTTCTGTGTGTTTATTTTGAGTATTTTGCTGGAATAAAGAGGGAGGGCAGTCTTCAAATAACAACAACGGCCTACTGTGCTCTTGCCAAACTTTTAAGGCAAGCAAGGAGCATTTCTCACTCCCAGACCTGTCCTTGCACCTAGGAAAGGGTGGGAGGGAAACTGGGTTGCTCAAGCAGTTGCTCTAACCTAAGCAAGCCAAGATTCACAAATCTAGGAGGGCCATAGAAAGGGTGTAGAGGAAAGGAGAGTTTGAAGCTAAAAGTGCCTGCTCCCTCCCCCCTCAGAAGGGCTCTCTCCTACTTGCTCAGCGTCCATGGTACCCATTTTTGGCCTTCCGTAAACACTGAATGAAAAGGAATCAGGAGGCAAGAGTGCCACGACCATGTACCTGTACTACTGACTGCTTTGTAAACCATCTACTACACTGCCTGCTGCCTTGTTGGGTGTAACTGGCAAAGAGAAAGATGGATCCTTGCCCTCTTGGAGTTTACAGTCGGCCACGGAGACAAATGTTAAGAGGGGCGGAGGTGGAGAAAATTATGAATGAATTACAAAACAGGGGAGTACAGGGCACTCTTAGAGCATCTAACAGGATGTGTCTAGTCTGGCAAGGGGTCGGGGTAGGTATGGAAAGGCCTTGAAGGGTGTGACATTTCCGCTACTCACTGAAGAACAAGTACTAAACAGGGCAAGGGAGGAGGGCTCTGAGAGAGGAAATAGCATGAGGGACATGTCTTGAGACAGAAAAGACATGGCGGAAAGGAACTGAAAGGAGGTCCTGGGACAGGGCAGGGGGGCGCTGGCAGGAGGCGCCAGAATCCACAAGGCATCAGAGGAGTTGATAAAGGGTTAGGGTTTTATCCCAAGAACCATGATAATTATGTGAGGACTTTTAAGTTGAGAAGAAATCAAGGAGATGGCCATCTTTAAAAAAAAACAAAAAAACAAAAAACAACCCTCCTCCTCCTCCCCCCTCCCCCTCCGCCACCCCCAGTTCCTTTCCAAGGAAAATGAGTAACTGCTGACAAGGCCACTGACCAGAGCTCTGCTCAGGTGTATGCCCAGAGAAGGCAGGACTGGGGCTTTGCTAGGAAGAAATAACTAAAGAACAGAAGAGAGAGGGTGTAAAAAGACAGGCCACAAAAATACAACGTGGAAGAGGCCACATGGGGGAAGGACACAGGCAGGGCTGATGAGGAGAAGAAAGACTAAAGTATCCGTGGACTGGAGGTCCCAGTGAGGCCAAGGACTGCGGTGGGAGTGGGTAAGAGAGCAAGCGGAAGGACGATGGTGGGGTGCACAAAGGCGGAATCATTTCTGGCTATTACAGTGTCCAGAATGTGGCTTGGCAGAAGGTGGTTATGGAAAAGTGGACAAGGATGATAGCAATGATAAGAAGGTAGAAAAACAAAGACCACATTGCTGAAGAGGCACTGAGTCGAAGCTCCTAGGAGAAGCAAGAAAGATCAGCCACAGGTGAAGTCTTCTAAAATATAGATTTAGAGCTCCTAGAAGGGCTTCAAGAACATTCTACACTCCTCCCAAACCCACCCACCCCCCTCCAAGCCTCCTGACTCCTTTTGCCTAAGTGTTTGGCTTGATTACATAAAAGCAACTATTAGCACAGTTGCTCAGAGATTCACAAACGTGTTACATGTACAGTTCAGCATGTATTCCTAGGGAATCTATGTGCATCATAAGCAGAAAGGTTACTGATAAGCCTGGCCTCCAGTCCCATGGCCTCAGCCTATGGCTTGTGCTCGTAGAGGATCTGCTACACTGCTTGCACCACACATATGACTCCATGTCCTGTGTCCCTACCAGACTCAAAAGTCACAAAAGTTCACTGTGCTTCCTTCACAGTCCCTAATGCCATAACTAAGATGTATGTAGTAGATGCTCAATAAAGAATGACACCCTCCCATTTATATAAAATTCAAAACTATCAAAACTAATTTATGCTGTTAAAATTCAGCATAATGGTTCTATCCAGGGTGGGGAGGGTAACTGGATGGGAGTACCAGTATTACATTTCTTGATTTGAGTGCTATTTATATGGATGTGTTCAGTCAAAATTCATTTTCTATGCGCAGCAAAGAAAACCATCAACAAGAAAAAAGACAACCTGCTGAGAGAGAGAATATATTTGGCAATGATTCATCCAATAAGTTCTTAATATCCAAAATTTATTAAAAAAAAAAAAAAAAAACCTCACACAAATCAACACCAAATAAAACAAACCATACAATTAAAAAATGGGTAGAGGACCTAAATAGACACTTTCTATAAAAATGACATGCATATGGCCAACAGACATATGAAAAGATGCTCAGCATCACTGTCAGAAAAAGTACAAATTAAACCACAATGAAATATCACCTCACACCTGTCAGAATGGCTATCATCAATAAGTCAACAAACATCATGTGTTGTTGAGCATGTGAAGAAAAGGGTACATTCATGTACTGTTGTTGGAAAATCAGTAAGGAGGGTTCTCAAACAATTAAAAATTGGACTGCCTTAAGACCCAGTTACTCCACCTCTGGATATAGATCTGACAAAACCCAAAACACTAATTTGATCAAAGATATGCACCCCTATGTTCATAGCAGCATTATTTACAATAGCCAAGATAGGGAAGCAAACCAAGTGCCCATCAACCCAGTGGATAAAATTGTTGTGGAACACCTTACCTGTGGGCTATGAGCACCGAAGAGGGTTGTACAGAGAGGAAAAAAAACTTGTGGAACACATATAAATTGAACATTACTCAGCCATAAAAAAAAAGAATGAAATATTAATATTACCATTTGCAACAGAATGGATGGACCTAGAACGTATTATGCTGTGAAATAAGTCAGTCAGAGAAAGACAAATCATCTGATTTCATTTATTATGCAATCTAAAGAACAAAATAAATGAACAAACAAAATTGAAACAGACTTTTAGACCAGAGAGCAAACTAATGATTGCCAGAGGGAATGGAGGTGGGGGGACTGGGTGAGAAAGGTGAAGGGATTAAGAAGTACAAATTGGTAGTTACAGAATAGCCAGGTAAAGTACAGTTTAGAAAATATATTCAATAATATTGTAATACCAATGTATGGTGCCAGGTGGGTACTAAAAATATTGGCGGGAACACTTTGTAAAGTAACCATATGATTGTCTAACCAATAGTGTACACCTGAAACTGACACAAATAATACTGAATGTAAACTATAATTAAAAATAAATTAAACAAATAAGAAAGAAAGAAATGGCCTGGCCTGGCATCTCTGTTGGGTGGAGCATCATCCCAAACACCAAAATCCCTGATCAGGGCCCACACTTAGGTTTTGAGTTTGATCAGCCAGGGTGCCTATGGGAGGCAACCAAATGGATCAACATTTCTCTCTCTCTCTCCCCTTTCCTCTCTCTCTAAAATCAATAAAAACATATCCTCAGGTAAGAATTTTAAAAATAACTAGAAAAACAAAAAAAAAAATCAATACTTGTTAAATGCAGTTTAAAAATTCATTAGTCTTTATAATTATTATTTATACATTTTTTCTGTCTATATGTTATGTTTCCATATTTTTTTTTTAAAATGAGAAGTAAATCAATCACTCCACTGAAATGCTTCCACCATGTAGGATTTCAACAATAAGCTAAAGCAGGCGCTGGCAAAGACGTTCTATAAGAGGCAAGACATGAACTGTCTTAGGCCTTGCACGCCCCACGGTCTCAGTCACCACTACTCGGCTCTTGCTGTAGCACAAAGGAGCCACAGAGGATGTGGACATGACCCAGCGTGGCTGTGTTCCAACGCAACGTCCTTATGAACACTCACCTTCGAATTTTGGATCATTTTCACCCATCCTGAACCAGTCTTGAGTTTTCCTAAGCATTGAAATTTTAAAAACCATGCCTAGCTCTCCAGCTGTACACGAATGGGCTGCAGGCCCGAGGTGGCCCACAGGAAATGTTTGCCCAACCCCGGCGCGAAGGGGCTGTGCATGTAAAACACAGCTCCTGGCCTGCGTCCGCTCAGCCTTTCCCTTGTCCCTCTCCCACGCTGCCCTCCAGCATCTCCCACCTTTGTAAGTGGGCAGACTCTCCATTCTGTCGCCACGTGGAGGTTTACTGTCCCGAGGTTTGATGGGCTCCACTCGACAGACAGAATAGGGGTTGTAATCTTGCTTATACGTCGTGAGCAGATCCATGTTCTCTTCACTTGGGACGAATGGGTCATGCTGGTAGAGCTTCACTGGACACACTTTGTGGGGCCCAAAATCTCTCCTGTAATGAAAATAAGTGCGGCATGGGCCCCTGGCTCAGGGACGGCTCTTGGCTTCCACTCAGCCCAACTCCACAAATGTCGGCTAAGAATGATCTACTCCATCCCCGACTGCTCTTCCTCCTCTGTTTCCCACCTTCGAGAAAGACACCTCCATTCCCTCCTCACCCACGCCAGCCAGGCTCCTGGACACCATCTGGATCCACCCCCCACAGCTCCAGTCACTCACCAGCGACGGCCCCTCCACCTCATCAGTCTGTCTTCCCTCCAAGGCTCAGGCCCTGAGCATTCCTCACTTGATCCGGTGACAGCTTACCACCTGGAATTCCTGCTTTCTTACAGCCACTTCGACTTCAGTCCCCCGAGTTGGCCAGAATAAGCCCTCTAACCTGAAAATCAGACCATCTCACTCCCCAGCTTAAAACCCGCCCAGACAAAGCCCAACCTTCTAGCATGGTGTGTAAGCTTTGCTGGCCCTGGCCCTGCCTTACTCCCCAGCCGCATCTCCCACCTCCGCCGGCCCACATTCCTCCTCAACCACCCTGGCCACTGAGAAGGCCTCTCCTCTGGGCCTGCTCTTCCCGCCTTCCTTCCCCCCCGAAGCCCCCTCACTGTGGAGCTAACTTCTGTTTTTTCAGACACCACCACTTCCTTCTCTGTACTCCTTATAGCTTCTCCTGCTAATATTTATTCCCTTCCTCTACTCGACCTTACAGAAAACCCAAAAGAGCAGAACAGTACAATAAAGGGAGACACTGGGCCTTTCATTTCCCTGCTCCCTGCCCCCAGTGCCCTCATCATTGCAGGGAGCATGACACAGTGGGATGAAAAAGCGTGATGGCCTTCATTCAATAGGAAACGCTCCCTTCCCTAAGCATGCCACAGCTACAGAGAGGCCAAAAGCTCACTCACTGTCCCTGGATCCCCCTGGCAACACCAGGGCTGGGCTGGGGCTTCCAGTCCCCACCAGGGCAATCCTGACTTCCAACTCTCATGCAAACCCTCCTAACCAAATACCTTCCCTATCCCCCCTCCCCCCAAGGCTCTGCTTTACAGGACAGCCTGGTTTTGCCTGGAACCCATTTATTAACCTGGACAAGGGGAGGTAGATTGGCCCTGATGGTGCTTGCCAAAGCAGCCTCGCCAAGGGAGGGGGGAGGTTTCCGGACAGGAAAACATCAGGCCCAAACACCAATAAAACCTACTTCCCGGCCGAAATCTGGAGCAGCATTACTGGGCCACGCATGACTGGCAAAGGTAACACGCTCCGCTGTAACCTGTCTTGCATGAATTATATACATGGTTGTCCATAAATGCCTGAAAATGCTTGGTAGGGTAGGGGCAGCGAGTGAGGAAGCAGGAGAGCTGATCTCCCCAGGGCTCTACGGAGGAAATGGGAGATGGTTCAGTTGAACTCCCAGGAACACCCTCTGGGTAGATTTAAAAATATCTCTGGGCAGCAGTTCCAGGTCTTCAGCCTGGGCTCCCTTCCCCCGAGCCCATGTGGGTAAACAGCGAGAGGAAGCTGAGTGACCTGAGGCCGCTGGCAGCTGACTGTGTACAACTGGGGCTCCCGAAGGAGCAGCTCAATGAGAACCCAAGGGTCAGTCCACACTGGCATCCTTCTTAGTGTAGCTCATGCCAGGGTCTGCTTAATACACAGCCAACTGCAGCAGCAGGGGGCTCGGGGGGGAGGGCCTAAGCGGCACAGAGAAATGGCAGTTTCCAGAAAGCCCTGTGTGAATAGTGATTACTGCAAAGCAGCTCTTATCAGAGAGTTTGTGTTCTCAGGGGAGGGCTCCGAAGGTACAGGTGAGCTCTCCTCCTTCCCTAAAGGGATGGGAAGGCCCTAGCCAGTTTGGCTAAGTGTTGGCCCTTGGTCTGAAGGGTCAAGGGTCTGATTCCAGTCAAGGTCATGTACCTTGGTTGCAGGCTCCATCCCTGACCCTGGTCAGGGCTCGTGTGGGAGGCAACCAATTGATGTGTCCAATTGATGTGTCTCTCCCCCTCCCTTCTCTAAAAATCAATGGAAAATATCCTTGGGTGAGGATTAACAAACAAAAGAGGCGGGGAGAAGTTTGGAGGCAGCGGAGAACACACACACACACACACCTGCCTGCATAAACCCATGTTCATCAATGGCTACCCCAGGGTTCAGCCCTGTTCCAAGGAGGAAGATCAGGAAATGCCAAAGGCAAGTGGTAAGAAATAAGGCCCAAAACCCAAGCTGTGCCCCACCCAACCCCAGAGCATCCAGGAGTGCTTTCCAGTCACGGGACCCTGCACACAGGTCATGGCATCCTCTTCCTCCGTTACTCCCCCGAGGGAGCCAGCTTCTCCTTTGAGATACTGTGACAACCTTCCTTCAAGGGCTTCCTTCAGTGCACTCAATGCCCTACTTCCTGCTGTTTCTACAGAAAAAGAGCAGAAAAATGCCCAGAATCAAACACGGGTTCATGGACTGCCCTAAAGCTGGTTGTTCAAAAGCAAAAGCTGATTCAGCACAGTCCTTGCTCACTGTATTGAGGGAAAGAAATTGTTCACGAGCCTCCTTCTCCAGTACAAAATGTAAGTCCCTATGAAAGCACATCTATGATTGACTATCCTAGTCAGCTATAACTAAGAAAAACGATCTTGAGGGGGGAAATGATCTATTTCTGAAGAGCAGAAAGGTTTTCAGTTGAGCTCATTTATCCCCCACCCAAAAATACTTGCTGTGGCCTAGAGTGGATTTAATCTGAATTTATGTCCCTCATTATGTTTTTATGTTGAGGACATTCACTGAAACCTATCAGTAACCACAACGCAACTGCATGTCCCCAATCTCACATAACCCAACATCCTTTAAGGTCACATAAAAGAAAAGACTATTTTATCCTTCCCAGAAATTGCTCACATTTAGTAGCTTTTTTTTTTTTTTTAAGAACACTCCCCTCTCTTCCTGTGTTGCATTCCCTAGTCCCTGTGCCTATTGTGACTAAGAACCAAGAAAAAAAATGGTCAAAGATGTTAGGTTTCTTTCAGGTGTAAAGTCATAAAAGTTATATAGTAAGGAGGGTGGAGAGAGAGAGTCTGAGTTAAGTCAAGGTTAAAGTGTCCTGCTGGGAAGGTCATAGCAACTTACTCCCAATCACAGGAAAGTGTTTGACAAGAGTCTGACAAAAGGAAAGAAGAAATAACAAAGCCAACAGCTCGGGGGCCTGGAAACAGGGCAAAGAAGATTTCCACAGTGATAAAAGGGCCATAAAAAAACTGTTTTTTAAGACCTATTATTAATGTTTATCTATGAAAACTTCAGAATTTGTTAGTGTACCCAACTAATCAATCATATTAAATGGAATCCATTTTTAAAAGAGTTTCTCCTCACCCTGGCTGGTGTGCCCAGTGGTTAGAGCATCAGCCTGCAAACCAGAGGGTCTCAGGTTCGATTCCCAGTCAAGGGCAGATACCTGGGTTGCAGTTGCATCCCCGCCCCCAGTCAGGGGGTATGTGGGAAGCAATCAATTGATGTGTCTCTCTCACATCGATGTTTCTCTCCACCCTTTGCCCCTTCTTTCCACTCTCCCTAAAAATCAGTGGGAAAATATGATCAATCCTCCAGTGAGGATTAAAAAAAAAAAAAAAAAAAAAAAAAAAAAGAGTTTCTCCTCTTGCCCAAAGCTAATCTCTTCACCCCTACCCTAAAACCACTCCCTCTTTCATGGAATCCTCATCTACGGACCATCTCCTGGTCTGTGCTTAAACCTTTTCCTTTACTGCCTTTTTTCCGTCAGTTTTTAAACATGCTCCATCCTTTCTAAACTTTAAGGGGTGAAAATAAAATATGACACAAGCCTTACTGGAGTGCATTCCCCTCCAGTCCTCTCTCCTTGCCTCTCTCTCCTAGGATAAAGACAGACTTGCCTTCCTCGCCTCCCATCACGCTCCACCCATCAACTCTGATTCTACTCCTTCCTTGCTCTAGGTGAGGCTGAAAGGATCACCTTGTTTCCAAATCTAGTCACTGCTCTGCAGGCCTTATCCTCCTGCACCATCTTCATACTATCCATCCTCTCTCATTTTTAAACACTCTTTCTCTTGACTTCTGAGATACTCCTCATGATTTGTCCTCTCTCTCTCTCTCAATATGGGGTTTTGCTCTTTGTCAATCAATTGATTTGATTTCATTACTTCCATGCAGGATTCTAAAATTTCCCCGAGTTAAAAAACACCCTCTAAGAAAACCATTACACCATCCCGGGAAGGGTGGGGAGCCCATCAGAGGAAGGTCCCTAGGCTGAGTAAAGGGCTTCATTCTTGTCCTGATAAGAACAAACAGCTCTCCTCATCTTCACAATGAAAGGCCGGGGTCCAAGTGCCTGCCTCCAGGATTTAGGCTAAATAGTTCTGTCTCCTGATCTTATCACCTTGACCCCCACTAAAGCTAACATCTGACACTGCTTCATTTAAGTGCTGGACAAAAATATAAAAACAACTACCTGTAAGCACTAAAGAGCAACCAAGATAGGAAGATTCTGGAGCAGAATCAACAGGTGAAAGAAGGGAATGGCACTGGGTAAGCCTCTGTATGAGTTCCCACTTTGTTTCAAGGCTTCCGTCTGAAGGCAGGCTCCCGTCTGTGCTAGGAAAGGCAGCTAAAATGGGAATAGAACACCTTCTCCCCCTTTCCCCCCCCCCTCTCTCTCTCTCTCTCTCTCTCTCTCTCTTTAAATATATTTTATTGATTTTTTACAGAGAGGAAGAGAGAGGGATAGAGAGTTAGAAACATCGATGAGAGAGAATCATTGGTGAGCTGCCTCCTGCACACTCCCTACTAGGGATGTGCTGCAGCCAAAGTACATGCCCTTGACCAGAATCGAACCTGGGACCTTTCAGTCTGCAGGCTGATGTTCTATCCACTGAGGCAAACCAGTTTCAGCTTCCATCTCTCTTGACTGAAGAACCAGAGGACCAAACTTTGAGGCAACCACAGGTACCACCAGAAAGTGAAGAAGGAATCCTGGAAAGGAGGGAACCAAAGACAAGAAGCTCAAATTTTATCTATCACTGGGCCCAAATCTCTAGCTGACCTCACATACATATCAGCCTTCAAGCAACAGGCTAAAGGTAAAGAACTGACTGAGGCCCAGCTGGTGTGGCTCAGGAGTTGAGCGTCGACCTATGAACCAGGAGGTCACAGTTCGACTCCCAGTCGGGGCATATGCCCGGGTTGTGGGCTCCATCCCCAGTGGGGGGTGTTCAGAAAGCAGCCAATCAATGATATTCTCTCTCTCTTCTCTCTCTCTCTCTCTCTCTCTCTCTCTCTCTCTCTCTCTCTCTCTCTCTCTCTCTCTCTCTCTCTCCTTTCTTCTTTGAAATCAATAAACAATATATATTTATAAAAGACTACAAATAAACTGAACTGAGATTTAAGCTGCCACCCAAGACAGAGTTTGCATTTTCACTCAGTCCAATCAAGTCACCGCCTATCTGCTCTAAAAAGAAGAAAAAAACATCTTCAGAAGGGAATATAGAAAAATCTAGTCTCCACTGTATGACATTAACAATGTACAGGATCAATCCAAAACTACCTGGCATACATACAAATGTGACCCACTTTCAAGGAAGAAAAAGATAAATCATGAGGACCAACCAACCCAAGCAGACCCAGATGTTAGGACCAAAGCAGCTATTTAACGATGCTCAATTACAAAAGGCAAAAATGAGGTCATAATGAATTAAAAGGAAACCACAGAAGGCAAGCAGTAACGAAATAAAAAGAACCAAATGTATACCCTAAAACTGAAAAATACAGTATCTGAAATAAAACATCCGCTGGATGGGCTTAACATTAGAATGGAGGTGGAGGAAAGATTCCGTAAACTTGAGAACAGATGAATAGAAACTATCCATGCTAAAGAACAAAGGGAAAAGAGATTGTGGGGGGAGGGATGAACAGGGACAGAAAAAAATAAATACTTGAAGAAATAATGGGCAAATTGTCCCCAAATTTAATCAAAGACACACAGCATCAAAGGGTGTGAAATTGCTCTGGCAAGTCTAGTGCTGAGACCTAATTCTGCATGTCTTCATTAATTCTCAGGCCAGTGTACAGAGGGGGGTAAGTATGTCCCTTGGGGCACAGGTCTGAGTAGAAAGCCAAGTATGCATTTGAACAGAAAATGTGTAAAATTCCATGGGTGGGGAAGGACTCAAGCCTACTAGCAACTTTCTTGCTTCTTTCCTGGCTTTTGAAGAGGGTACCAAACGCCCTTTTTCTTTTTAGCTCTTGCCTCCCTGCCTCTCCTCAGTTTACCCAACGTCTTGTCAATAAAGGAAGACAGGAGCACCGCCAACTTCCTGCCCTCCGCCCTGCAGCCAAACCCACCAAGTCTGAACCGGCAATCTCCCCACACACATGTGCATCTGCAATTCTCCCTTACCGTGGTCTCCCTTTAGGAGAAAGGTCTCACACCATCTTAAGGACTCACTTCTTTCCTATGACGTTATCCACTTCACCCCTCTTAAAGGATCCGGCTTACCTAACAGAAATCATGTCACAAAATGGGGCCCGGGTGTGTTTTACAGAATGACACGCCTCGGGGGAAATGAGGTTTGAAGTATAAACTTCTTCTTCATAAACTGGTCAGAGGCTGGTCCTTTGTGGGAGAATTACCAAGGGCTGTGAGAAAGCATCATAGGAAGGGGGGAGGGGGGACTGGAAATCACAGACCCTCTCCTTACGGCACCTGCGGTAAATCCTTGAGATTTACAGTCAGCAAGAGTTGTGTGCAGCTGTGCTCACGCCTCATGCTGGGATGATAACCTTTCCAGAAACCAGGTGTTTTTTGTGTCTGGGCTTAATCACCAAACCCAGCCAAGCCCTGGGTCACATGATTTTATTATGCAGCAGGTGGCAGCCCCACGGCCAATCTGGGAAACCAAGCCAGGTCAGTCTTCAGACAGCGACGTGGGTGGGACATTCTGGTAATAAGGGTTCCAAGGGCAGAGGGATGATAATCCATGCAGACACCGGGGTGTGCAGATACAGGGCTGACCCATCCCATCCCCCAGAGGTCTCTTGGAGAAGGGGGGACATCCAGAACACAGTTTCTCTGCATTCCTTGACAGGGAATCGTTTTGTATATGTCCAGATACATGAATTAGAGTCTCTGATGAGTTTGTAAGGCTCAGAAAAGATGGTTGACAAAGTCGTGATTTCTGCTCGTTTATCTCAATAGGAACTCACTGGAACTCAAAAAAGAAAGCATCCTGATAGGGACATAGTTTTGTGGGTCTATGATCACTAGTGGCCAGCATGGAAGATGCGGGGATGAGAAATGATTATATTGATGTAAAGGAGTGAGAAGAGATGTCCTCTGCTTATTTCTCCCTTAGTTCTCTTTCTGGGGAAGAAAACAAAGGACAGGGGAGAAGCAGTTCCGCTCTTTTCCCTTCCCCTGGGAACCCTGCTCCTCCCCCTTCTTCGTTTTAAGGCCCCCAGGATCACGAACAACTTGTTTTGGAAAACCTTTCCGTTCCTGCATTCCTCCACTTGGGCCACGTCTTGACATGAATGATATTATTACTCTGGCCCTGACCAGAACAGAGGGGCCTTCTGGGTGATATGTTTATTGTTGTAAGTGACGTGAGGCGAGGGTGATTTAGGACAGGTCAGAGGGGAAGTTTTTGTTTTGCAGAGGGCCTGTGGGGCTCCATCCTGGGGCTCAGCCAGGTGACAGAGCACGGCTCCTGCCCCAGAGAGAGGGTTTATCCTCCTCTCCTACGCTTGTGGGCAACAAACAGAAATGATTCCTCAACACGTAACCCTCAGACATCCTTTTCCATATTTCCAGGACATGAAGCAGATCCCTAATATAAGATCATCTGAAGCTATGCTATCCTTTGCATTCTCAGGGAGCTCTTCATTTCCTACAAATTGGGTATAAACAGATGAGAAAACCAGTATCTAAAGCCTGCATGTGATGTCTGCAAGCCCTTTCTCAACACAGCTCTTATCCTTCACTCCCACTCACATGTCTCTTAGGAATAAGCCAAGGACTGTCCATTCGTGTTAATCAGGGTTTCTTAAAAGGAAAAGCAATGCTCCGAAAGGGCCCACAGCTCTGGTTGTGGTCTTTAGACTCCTAGAAACTAAGAATGCTGTATTTTCTTAGTAAAGTGAGGCCAAACTTTAAGGCTCGTATTGTTTAAAAAGCCATAGGCTGAAAAGCAGGTTGCATAAATTACAATTTTTTTAAGAGGGACCTGGAAACCTTGTGCTTAAACCAAATCACTTAAGAAACTGCTCTGTGTGAGAGTGACCTGATTCAAGGCAAGTGTCAGACCGGCGCTGGAGTCCCTCCCTTTGTCAAGCTGCTCCATCCAGCGGTTCCCACCAAGCTCAGGAACCCTTCACATCCTTTCTCCGGTCTCCCCTCCTGCGTCTTTTCTGCCCCAGAACCCAAACGTGGGCTTCTTAATGTACAAGACAGCAGCTTTCAGTAAGAACCCTATGCCTCCAGCCCACCATCAGAGGGTGTTCCCAGGCCCATCCTGGGGGACCCTGGGGACAGAATGAATTCGAGCTCTTCGCCTGCATCCTCTGGGGCCTTCACCACAAAAGCATGGTCCCAGGCTCAGGGAGGATTTCACCGGGTCTTGAGCACCTGGAATGCGCAGGCGCTGCGCTAGGCCATTTCCTCTCTACCTCGAGGCAATCCTGCTGCCACGAGGGGTGGCACAGGCAGTGAGCATGTCCATCTGTCAGGCCTCCTCTGAGACTGATCTACACCCAGCTGCACTCAGATGTTTCTACTCCTCGGGGTCGCCGGCCGCAAGGTACCACCTGGCAGTAACTGAGGGGCTGAGGGCAGATTCTGCTCGAGGCCTGCAGCCTGTAGAACAATCCTGAGGCTGATCCTCTCCCCACAACCTCTCAATACAGACACCTCTGCAACCCAGATACACTGAGCCCAGGGGTTCAGTCTCTGCAGGGCGCTGGAGCTAAGAATCAGAGTTTATTAGGCAAGAGTCATTTAAAAGGAAAGATTCCTCCTTGAAGAACATTCAAGGGGGGGAGGGGGGCCAATTCAAAGTCTGTAGCGTAATTTCAAAGAAGCCCACTCTTCCTCTGTGATCAAGTTCTCCTTCACCACAACCAACATCACATCACCATCCACCTAAGCCAGGGGCTGGCAAACTCATTAATCAACAGAGCCAAATATCAACAGTACAACGATTGAAATTTCTTTTGAGAGCCAAATTTTTTAAATTTAAACTTCTTCTAATGCCACTTCTCCAAAATAGATTCGCCCAAGGCCATGGTATTTTGTAGAAGAGCCACACTCAACGGGCCAAAGAGCTGCATGTGGCTCTCGAGCCGCAGTTTGCCGACCACAGACCTAAGCTGACCCGGAGCTTAGCTGCCAAAGCCCAAAACCCCTTTTACAGCAGCTGCCCCCTCTTTCCATCCCTTTATTATTTTACTTAACCTCCAACCCTTTTTATGTAGATCAATTTAGTCTTTCCCCTCCCCCGTTTCCCTGCTCTCAACATGAGAATCCTTTCTCTTTAAGAGGAGATTGGGGAAAACTGAACAGATTAACCCATGCAGGATTTTCAGAAACACAGCAAATTAACATTAAGACAGTAATAGCATATGTCAATAGTGCACATTAATGCAGTATTGAACATTATTACATTACATTATTACATCAATTGTACATTAGTCTCACACATTACCCCATTAATTATATGTTCACACATGCATACCACTGCCCTCACCTCGATGTGCTCAGGCCTTCCATTGGCACGGCCCCTTTCTGGTACTCCATCCTGGGCTTGAAGGACTCTCTGGGCAGGTATGAGTGATAGATAGGGTAGTTCTCGGCGTATTCGGAGAAAAGACATGGTTTCTCTGTTTTATCATAAATCTTGGTAGGGAGATGTGGACAATGATGCCGCCTATAAAAACACATGAAATTAGGGTGGTTACCTTCTTGAGAAGATCATATCCAGTTTAGTAATGCTACCTTCTCAAAATGTGACCCAGACTATGAATCCATGACTGCTATCTTTGAAGACAGAAATTTAACCCTTTTTTTTCTACTGAACTATGTAAAGACGCCAAATTTTTTTAATGATCTGTAATTGCAATTGGTTAATTGTCAAAATTCCTTGGATCATAAAGTTACACATAAGCACCCGGCCAGTGTAGCTCAGTGGTGAGCATCGACCTATGAACTAGGAGGTCACGGTTCAATTCCTGCTCAGGGCACATGCCATGTTGCAGGTTTGATACCTACTATGGGCATGCAGAAGGCAGCCTACCAATGATTCTCTCTCATCATTGATGTTTCTCTCTCTCTTCCTCTCCCTTCCTTTCTGAAATCAATAAAAACACATTACACACAAGCATGGCTGATGTTCAGCTGTTATATCTACCCTATTGCTTGTTCAAATACTTCTCTGCATTAATAGTTAAATGGTTGTGGCCCCTGAGTCCTCTGAGTACCAACTCGACTGGCCCAGGCCCTTCCCTGAGGCCTCCCAATCACCCAGCAATTAGGGCTCAACATCTGACCTAACAGGGTACTCCAAGTCTGTGCTCTGGGGTCAGGCTACTGTCTTTCCTCAGTGGTTCCTGGGACAATTCTGAATGTCATTTTTGCACACAAGTGGTATACTAAATGCCATTGACTCCGTGAAACCATATTCTCATTTTACATCTGGCCTTTATTCTGAAAGGTCTCACCTCAATTGCTGCATCTTTAGAAAGACTTCTGCTGATCATTTATTTCTAAAATACACCCGCTCCCCTCTCTCTCTGTTTCTCTCACCACACCATATGCCCTTCTCATTACTTACCGTTACCTGTAGTTGGCATTGTCTATCTCATCTATCAAGTTCACGACCTTCTCTGTCTTGTTCACTGCTACATCCCTAGTACCTCATATCCTGCCTGGCACACAGTAGGCACTCAATAAAAATTTATTGAATGAATGACTGAGTATATAAATGAATTAAATAAACTCTATGTCTCATTATGCAGGTGATAAATAATAATTTGCCATTATATTTTATAGTGAGCTTTTCATTTTACATGTTAGTAATAAATGAACCCTATTATTCTACTAATTGCTGGACAATAGGCAACTATTTTGAGCTCTCAAAAACTAAGGAGTGTATCAATTATTTGTGTGCCCATATACAATCCTTACAAACCAGTGGGGCACCTCTAGTCATCAAACACTAGCACATTGACAAAACTCCATGAGTGATTACCAACTTGGTTATATGAAGGAATGGCATGGAATTATTGTAAAATTTTTACACTGAACTGATTTTAATTACAGAAATTAAAACACACAGCACTCTGGTGCCATGCATAGGGAAGGAGAGAAAGAAAAGAAAAGAAAAGAAAAGAAAAGAAAAGAAGAGAAGAGAAGAGAAGAGAGAGAGAAGAAGAGAAGAGAAGGAAGATAAGAGAACCGAGAAAAGAGAAAAGAGAACAGAAAAGAAAAGTAAAACGAGAAAGAACGAATACATCAAGAAGCACGATATAGAGAGAGAGAGATAGAGAGAGAGAGAGAGAGAGAGAGAGAATTCATCACCCTCTACTCTAAAGCTATTTTCAAGGCAACAGTTAGTTAATAAGTTGAACCATCTATGTAAATGTTTCTGCCAGAACATTTGTTGTTACTGTGTACCTCTCGTCAACTCTTCAACCCCCAAAAGAAAACAATCGACACCTGTATTGTTCACATGAATACAACTGCATATAAACAAGTTCCTTTACAGATATCTCTATTTTCATTTATAGTTATCTATCTTGAAAAGCCATAAGACATAAACTTGTCACATTTATGTTTTACCTTTGTGACCATAAAAGTAAATTCATGACAAATATTTTAGGTTTTTCTAATTATTTACTAAGAAATATTTCATAAATATTTTGTCCTTATAGTATCAATATCTAAATTTCACAGCATTAAATACGCTCAATAATTTTTTTTCCTTTCTCAAAACGCACATTGTTGGCATTTAATATTCAAAGATTAACATGTATTTATATCATATATATTTAATAAAGTAGCTCCTAATTATAGGGACATAAGTTGAGTGCTTTAACTTTTCTGTCCACTTGAGATAACTTTTTGTTTCACAGTAAACAAATAACCATCTCCTATATGATAAAAAAAAAAAAAAAACATTAGCTACTATTACCATTGCTGTGCTCACAATCAATCCAATTATCTGAGATCTCAATCCAAGCCAATTAGTGTCCTATTATTTTAGGATTCCTACAAACCTCAAATAAAAAGGCAAGAATTGTGTTGACTACCAGAAATATCTCTGCAGATATATTTTATTCACCCACACTCTGACAGAAAAGTCAAGATTTTATTAAGGATAAAAGATTCAGGCACTTGCAATGAAACAGACTCTACAGACCTAGCAATATTTTTCTTCTCCAGTGCCTTTGTTTTTTAAATCAGTAAAAACTTTGCTTTTATATAATAACCCCTTTTCTATATTGTTACTTTTTAAAACTGTAATATACTGTAAAGGCTTATTCCAACAGAAAAATAAATTTAATGGCAAAATACTACATTGTGATTGGTATCATGAGAGGGGATTTTAGTATAGAGAACGTTTGCATCCAGACATTGATGTTCCATTAAATGGAATTACGTCTAATATATATTTATAGGGCAGATTTTATTCATTTAACTTGTTGCTAGTTAACTAAAACCTTGTCTTACTTTGAAATATCAAAACTCCTATTTCAAAGTAAATATGTCATTGCCTGAGTTCGCTCAAGGGGTCACCTCCTTTCCTTACCTGTATACACACACACACCCTAAAGATCCCTCTCAAGCCACCAAACACCATGGCATCTCCTTGTTGGTCTTTATCCAGAAGTTGCTCAAGAATAAATACCAAGTCTGACATCTGTGTTCTGGAGGTTAGCCCAATGCCTGACATATTTATTTAACAGACAGATGAACAGTTGGGTAGTGTACAGGAATACAAACTACTGAAAGAAAGATATTTACGAAGAAAATTAGTCGTTCTAACATTAATAGAGCAAAAAGGGGAAAGGTTGATTCTCGGTTTCTATGGACCTAGATAGCATCGAAGGGAAGTCTATGGAACCACCATACTTGGGGTATTTAAAAGTAGTCATAACAGTCATGAACCGAAGAAATGAGACCTCTCCAGCTCTCTGACACGTGTATCATTTTAGGAGCTGCTTTGGCCACCTTACTCAGGACACTGATACAAACCTAGATGGGCCGATGGGCAACAAAGGAGAAGAGGAGAAGGTGCTTTAATCTCTCAGAACTCTCTCAAGTCTTTCCACTCCAGGATACAGAACCAGAAGTAAAAGGAAATCATCTTGATGTTTTCTGATATATGGTAATAGAAGTAGCAGAGACTTTTTAATGGAACCCAGAAAAGTAAGAGTAGTTGACTCCAAACTAGAATCACAGAATTTTAAAACTAAGGATCCAGAAGAATATTTGACCTGATGTCCCCACTATGCATATCAAAAGTCTGAAGCTCAGAGGACAATGGAACAGAACACAGAAATCAACCCAAGCCAATATGCTCAATTAATATTTCACAAAGGAAGCTAGAGCAAACAGTAGAGTCAAGACAGTCTCTTCAATAAATGGTGCTGGGAAAATTGGACAGATAAATGCTAAAAAATGAAACTAGAACACTTAACTTGCCCCAGACACAAAAATAATTTCTAAATGGATAAGACTTAAATGTAAATCATGAAACCATAAAAAATCCTAGAAGAAACCATTGGCAGCAAAATCTTAGACATCTCTCATAGCAATATGTTTGCTGACACATCTAGGGCAAGGGGAACAAAGGAAAAAATAAATAAGACTACATCAAAATAAACAGCTTCTGCACAGCAAAAGAAACCATCAACAAAATGAAAAGAGATCTCACTGTATGGGGATACGTCTAATAAGGGGTTAATTACCAAAATATATAAAATATGCATAAGACTTAACAAGAGGAATACAAACAACCCAATTAAAAAATGGGAAAAGGTCCTAAATAGACACTTCTCCAAAGAGGACATACAGATGGCCAAGAGACATATGAAAAAATACTCAGTCACTAATCATCAGAGATACAAAATTAAAACTACAATGAGGTATCACTTCATACTTGCCAGAATGACTACTATCTACAAATGGCAAGTGCTGGAGAGGATGTGGAGAAAAGGGAATCCTAGTACACTGCTGGTGGGAATCAGACTGGGACAGCCACTATGGAAAACAGCATGGAGTTTCCGCAAATAATTAAAAATGGAACTGCCATCTGACCCACTGACCCAATTCATGGAATATAACCTAAGAATGCTGAAACACCAATAGGAAAGAATATATGCACTCTGTGTTCATTGCAGTGCTGTTTATAAGTGCCCATCAGTAGATCAGTGATTAAAAAAAAAAAATGTGGTACATTTACACAATGGAATAATATGCAACTGTCAGAAAATAAAGATCTCTTACCCTTTGATACAGCATGGAGGGATTTAGGATTATGGTAAGCAAAATAAGCCAGTCAGAGAAAGACAAGTATCACATGATCTCATTTATATGTGAAATCTAAATGAACAAAATAAACTGATGAACAAAATAGATCCAGAGACATTAAAGCATGCAACAGACTGATGAATATCAGAAGGAAGGGGGTGGGAAACAGAAAGAGATTAACCAAAGAATGTGTATGCACATATGCATAACCCATGGACAGACAATAGTGTAGCAACAGTGAAGGCCTTGGGAGGGGACAGGAGAAGAGGGGGTCAATGGGGGTGGAGGGGGAAGAAGTAGTACATCGGTAATATTTTCAACAATAAAGATAAATTTAAAAATAAAAGCTGGATGTGAGGGGAAAATAGGCTAGGTTTATTGACAAATTACATCACA